TATATATATATATATATATAAAAATAGGATAGAACTCGTTAGGTAAATAATCCAACGTTCTTTAGTATTTTTGCTATTATTTTCAAAAAAATAGTGCTCGATACAAAAGTAGTGCATAAATATAATTATTTATTTAAAATATGATTCCAACGCGCTACATAAGAGTTCTCATGTTTCAAAAAAGAGCAAAAAACTTCAATATAATTATGTGAATTAAATTGAATTAAAGTATTAATCTCCGTTCCATCGTTCCAGTTTTCGGCTCTGGTTTTGAAACATGAGAACTCTTATGTAGCGTGTGGAATCATATTTTTTTTAAATATATATATATATATATATATATATATATATATATATATATATATATATATATATATATATACACACACATACACAGACATAGATATAGAGACCTGGGCACTTCGACGTAATGGTGAAATGATTAGCAAGCTTGTCTCGCTATATCATTTATAACAGAATAGTGAGTTCGATCCTAATAATCACCCCTTACTTTAGGCCTTGTGCCACATCTAAGCTACACTTTGAAAATCACCATACACACAATAGGTAATCGTTTTCTCTTACTCGTTCTTTAGCTATGTTATTAATCCTCTTTCGGGGTTACAGCCTGTCCAATCATTTAACATAGGCGCTTATAGGTAGACAGACTATTTAGAAAGTCTCGTGTGTTCAATTTTAAATGGGAGCCTCATTCTGATGCCTTATGCCGCACAATGTTATGTTTAGTCAATAAATCGATAATTTCGCCTTGAAGTATGAGTCAAAGAGCAAATCTCAAAAAGCCTCATGTGTGACATTCAAGAGCAGGTAACCGATCACTGTGTTACGATAAGTGCATTGATTTGGGTGCTATGAACTGGTTGTGTCCGAATATTTGATTCTCTGATGATGATTAAAGATATATCCTCAAATGACCGATCAAGAAATCTCGTGTTTTCATCTGTTACCCCGACTTAATTTTATAAAATTACGAGAAATTAAAAGTTTAAACTTTTCCAAATCCCGTCTACAGTCACTATCTCCTAGACGTGCTGTGACTTCCCTCTGTCTTTTCTGCAACTATTTTCTTGGCAACTGCTCTGACTAGCTACCTTCACTGGTTCCTAAACTGCATGAATTTAAGCGTGCTACCAGGTCAGCTTCTCGATCCCACCCTTTCACTGTCAAATACATTTTTGAAAAAAAATATTACCAGAATACATGTTTGAAAAAAATATTACCAGCAATAAAAATCTTGTCAGCATTAAATAACCCATTGTGGTGTTGATATGCCGTAAAACAAAAGCAACGAAACCAAAATATTTCAGTTGATGTAAGAGGTACTGTTAAATAAGCCCTAACTAGTGGATTGGATGGGATTGCCCAATTTCCTGGCCAACCTGTTCACCTGATGTTGTTCCCCTGGACTTCTTTATATGTTCTTATGTTAAAGACATCGTGTATAAAACAAAGATACAGGACTAAAGTAAAAGATCACTGATGTAATTGTCATCATTGTGATAAGGCAATGCTACTGCGAACATAGCAAGAAATCGTGTACCGTTTTGATGTGTTTCTTGCAAGTAATGGTGCCCATATCGTGGTGTATTAAATTAGTTTTTAAAAGAATTCATTATCCCATTTTGTAAGAATTTCCACATATTTATCTGATCATTTGATTTGGTAATATTGTTTTAAAATTGTAAAGAGACTTAATGACTGTTACCATATATGGTCCGGTGCCCCTGCTGTTCATCTCGAGGTTCTCAACAAAATTCAGAAACGGATATGCAATGTAATAGGTCCTGATCTGGCATATCGTCTCCAGTCACTTTCTCACAGACATGATGTGGCTTCCCTCTGTCTTTTCTGCAACTATTTTCCTGGCAACTGCCCTGCCGAGATATTTTCTCTGGTAACCAAACTGCATGGATTTAAGCGTGATACTAGGTTGGCATCTCGGCACCATCCTTTCATTGTCGATAAATGTAGCCGTCTCTTCTACTCCGACAGCTTCTTATCTCGCACTTCCCAACAATGAAACTCCATTCCTCTTACTTGCTTCCCTGATAGCTACAAACTGATGTCTTGATTTTGATCCCCGTCCTTCTCTTTATCCTTTCCTCAAACACCCCTCTTTACTCTTGCTCCTAATCCTCTGTAACCCCTTGCGTCTAGTGGTACTCCCGCTTTCCTTGGGGTGATATGCTTAGAAAAAAATACTTACATACCAAAAGTAATGGTCAACGTGTAATTCTCGACAATAATTTTATAGTTTAATTATAATTCAGATTTATATATTTATTATTTAGTAGTGAAAATCTCACAGCATTTATATTTGAATTTTGTTTACTTCTTTTTGCTATCCTTTTTTTTCTGATTGAAACCAAGTACCATCTTTGACATATCCTTCCCGTCTTTCCTCGGGAGCATTATTTATGAGGTACGGTCAGAGCGTTTATTTCTGTCGTTCTTTTTTTTTCTCTGCTGAAACAAAGTATCGTCGCTGATATGTCTTTTCCGTTTTTCCTGTTATGTGAGCTTAAAATTTGAACTGTTGCTGTAACGCTTGTTATTCTTTTGTATGTACTGTGTCCCTACGGGACGTTGACGATCATGGCTCTCCAGAATTTCCTGTCCTCCGTAGCTCTAAGCTCTTAACAGATTTTGTCTTTTTGATATTTCTCCTAAACTTTGTCCGACAATCCATTTACTGAAACTCACTAAGCGGTTGTTTTTCTCTGTTCCTCTTTCAGTCTGTTCAGTAAGGAATCTCTGACTTTACAATTTGAACTGTTTTCTACAACACTATTTTGTAATTAATATTCTTTTTACAACTTCCACATTTCTCACATGCACTGTCTATAGTAATCACATCATCTGCCATAAGAAACAGAGCTCTGTTCTTATATTCTCCCCAAAAGCTGCCATTTTGCAGTCTATATTTAGTGATCGTTTGTTTAAAATACGTAACCTACGTAAACGTGAACGGAAACATGCAATTCCTGCTTGTTTTATTTTGTTTTGGTTTGGTTTGGTTTATTTTGTTTACGGCATATCATCTTCAATGGATTATTTAATGCCGACAATTTTTATTGCTGGTAAGATGGAAGCCAGAGTATGAATATTGGTACTATTTCTGAAGGCTGGGTGATTTTTTTCTTCTCATTATTGCTCAGTTGGGAAAACAGTGAGGCTGACACAAAACGTTTTTAACATTTAAAAAAAAAAAGTATCTAGCTGAATAAATCAAAGGGTTTTCCAGTGATTCTTACGAAAAAAATCGCGTCAAGATGGTTAACGTCTTATCTGAAAACGTAGAAAAAAGAAACTCAATTAGTTTCGTGATATTTAGATATTAAACATTATGTGGGATAGACAAGCAATCTTCAGTCGTTGAATTTGGTAAATATATATCGATATTGTAGAGGTGGGTCAGTCCATATATTATAAGATAATGTTAAAAAAAAAATTAAATTGAATTTTATATTTATATTAAATATTAGGATAAGGTAAAAATATGAATTTTGTATGTATTAGGTTGGTGCAAAAAATGACGTAATAATGTCGTTTTTTGACGTATTTTTTAACGTCAAAAAACGACATTATTACGTCATTATTTTTGCACCAACCTAATAAAATAATCAGGAAAACTTAAAAAACACACACGTATGCACAATTTACTTATTTCATGTTACAAAGGTAGAATTAAAATGTAAATATAAATATTCTTATGTAAGTAATTATAAGAGTAATTATAATACAGAGATAGTTACCAATATCATGACGCATCTATATATGTAAATTATTATATATCCATATCCAGGGCTGTTCGATAAAAGTGACTGACCTGATTTTTTTTTACTTAAAAGATTTTTCGCCTATTGTTTTTGGGGTCAAACTAATTATTAATCTTACTAATATAAAGACCCCTTCCTGACCACCTAGTAAAAAAGTTTACTCACCCTAAGGTATTCTATTGATAATTATAATTTTGGATATAAATGAGATTTAGGGAAAACCTCTGTGCAAAAAAAAAAGTGACTCACTTATTCCCTGCAGCTAGTAATCAATACAGCTTTAAATAAAGAATAATAGAGGTATAATTTATTTATAATAGGTAATATAGTTCGAAATATTTAATAATCTATGGGTCCTCCTTTATTTTGAATAAACTTTTCAACCCTTTTTCGCATTGACTTGATTAGGTTCTGGCAAATCTCATCTCTAAGCATTGAATTCCATGCGGATATGAAATTCATAATCAAATCCTCTTTGTTGCTCAACTGCTTTCTCGAGAGCCTGTACTTTATAATGCTCCATAAGTTTTCTATGGGGTTGAGGTCAGGAGATTGGGGAGGCCATGTCATAACACTCACCTGCTTCTCATCAAAGTATTCCTTCATCAGGAGCATTATCCTGCATAAAAATGAGCTTGGTGGGGTCGATTTGCACCCTTTCAGCAGAACGGAGCAGACAAGACTGTAAAATTCTCTTGTACAGCTCGATCCTGAGGGTCTTTTCAATTGGTTTTAAGAAACCAGTTCTATGAAAAGAAAAACATCCCCAGAACATTATACTGAACGGATGCTTAACAGTACTTACTGCTAAATTCAAAGAGCTTTCAAAGCTTCTTCTTTCGTTTCATCGGAGAAAAGAACGTTTAGCAAAAAAATCAGGTGAGTCACTTTTATGGAACAGCACTATATATATATATATATATATATATATATATATATATATATATATAGACACATGTGGGTAAAGACAGTAGTAAATGATACTAGATTAAGTTATAACCACAGTTACATAAAAGCCAAGTAGTGTATATCAAATTATGTATCACCATGTTTGATACAATATTACATGGAATATAAAAATATGTAAAAACACACTGAATTCCACATGAATAAATTACTTCAAGTAACAAAGGTAAACGACCTTTAAACAAAGAACAGAAAGGGAAGAGATCATAAAATAAAGAGGGATAAGAACATTGGCTATGAAATAATCAGAGGACAGGTCAGTGAATAATTAGTAATGAGAGGGAAGTGACTCGTAAGAAAATTGAGGGAAATGAAGTCAGTATTAAGTAAAGAGAGGAACCGGAAGTAAACACGTGTTAAAGAGTAGAAAAGGAGGTGACCATTAAATAAAGAGACGAAAGGAAAGTGACCATTAAGTAAAAAGAGGAAACGGATGTGACATGTACGAAAGAAAGGAAAAGGAAATGACTACTAAGCAAAGACAGGAAAAGGAAATGACCATTAAGCAAAGACAGCAAAAGGAAATGGCATTAAGTAAACAGACGAAAGGAAAGTGAGATTAAGTAATGAAGAAAAATCCGTTTCAATTAAGTAAGAATCTCTTAAGTGTCTATTAAGTAAAGAGATGTGTGGGCAGTGACCCTAAAGTAAAGAGAAGGGAAGTGTTCGGGAAGCAATGTAGAGAAAGGAAGTGAGACTTAACTAAGGAGAAGAATTAAGCAAACCGGAATATACTTAACATTGAATATTAAGAAAGGAGACGGAAGTCACGTGAAACTTAATTAAAGAGAGGAAAGGAATAGTGACCATTACGTAAAGAGAAGAAATGCCAGTGACCATTAAGTAAAAAGAGGAAAGAACATTGGTCTGTAAACAAAGAAAGAGTCCGTGAACACTAAGAATGGAGACAGACGTGAACTGACCAATGAAAAGAGGGACAGTGAGTGAGTTAGGTAAAGAGCGGGAAGGGAAATGACCAGTAATCAAAAATAGAGACTGATATTGATCTATTAAGTAAAAGGGAAATGTTCATGAAGCAAAATGGGCAAAGAAAATGAAAATTAACTAAAGAGAGGCAAGCGAATTGACAATTCAGTTAAAAGAGGAAAGGAGAGTAAACATTAAGTAAAGAGAGGAACGGGAAGTGACCTATAAGTAAAGAAAGGAAAAGGACTATTAAACAAAGAGAGAGATGAGAAGTGATAAGCAAGTAAATGAAAGGATCATTGAGGGAATGGCGTAAATGGAAGTGAGCATTACACGAAGAAAGTGAAGGACATTGACCATGAAGTAAAGAGATGCAAGGGAAGTAATCATGAAAAAAGAGTGGAAAAGGAAGTGACGATTAACAAGAGAGAAGAAGGGAAGTGACCATTAGGTAACAAGAAGAAAGGGAAGTGATCATTAATTACAGAGTGGAAAGGAAGTGTCCATTAAATAAGGATGGGAAAGAGAACTGACAATCAAGTAAAAAAGGAAAGGGAAGTGACCATTAAGTAAAGATGGGAAAGGGAAGTGACCATGATGTAAAGAGTGGAAAAGGAGTGGCCATTAAGTAAATATGACAAAGGCAATTGACCATGTTGTAAAGAGTGGAAAGGAAATGACCATTAAGTAAAGAGGGGAAAGGGTAGTGACCATGATGTAAAAAGTGAAAAGAAAGTGACCATTAAATAAAGAGAGAAAAAGGAAAGTGACCATGATGTAAAGAGTGGAACGGAAGTGACCATTAAGTAAAGATGGGAAAGGGAAGTGACAATGATGTAAAGAGTGCAAAAAGGAAGTGACCATTAAGTAAAGATGGGAAAAGAAGTGATCATGATGTAAAGAGTGGAAAAGGAAGTGACCATTAAGTAAAGATGGAAAAAGAAGTGATCATGATGTAAAGAGTGGAAATGGAAGTGACCATTAAGTAAAGATGGGAAAGGGAAGTGACCATGATGTAAAGAGTGGAAAAGGAAGTGACCATTAAGTAAAGATGGGAAAGCGAAGTGACTATGATGTAAAGAGTGGAAAAGGAAGTGATCATTAAGTAAAGATGGGAAATGGAAGTGACCATGATGTAAAGAGTGGAAAGGAAGTAACAATTAAGTAAAAGTGGGAAAGGGAATTGACCATGATGTAAAAAGTGGAAAGGATGTGACCATTAAGTAAAGATGGGAAAGGGAAGTGACCCTGATGTAAAGAGTGGAAAGGAAGTGACCATTAAGTAAAGATGGGAAAGGGAAGTGACCCTGATGTAAAGAGTGGAAAAGATGTTACCATTAAGTAAAGATGGGAAAGTGAAGTAACCTTGATGTAAAAAGTGGAAAGGATGTGACCATTAAGTAAAGATGGGAAAAGAAGTGACCATGATGTAATGAGTGGAAAAGGAAGTGACCATTAAGTAAAGATGGGAAAGCGAAGTGATTATGATGTAAAGAGTGGAAAGGAAGTAACAATTAAGTAAAGATGCGAAAGGGAAGTAACCATGATGTAAAAAGTGGAAAGGATGTGACCATTAAGTAAAAATGGGAAATGGAAGTGACCATGACGTAATTAGTGGAAGGGAAGTGACCATTAAGTAAAGATTGGAAAGGGAAGTAACCATGATGTAAAGTGTGGAAAGGAAGTGACCATTAAGTAAAAAATGGACAATTAAGTGAAAGACCATGAATTAAACAGTTGAAATGAGGTGACCAATAATAAAGAGAGGAAAGGGAAATGACAATTAAATACAGAGAGGAATACGAAG